TGTTGTAACAAAAGGTGTTTATTGTGCATTTTTCTCCTTCTTTAAAATACAGAGACAACATCCACTTAGAAGTTTTTTGGCAGGCTTCACCCGGAGTTATTGTTTTGGTACAGCAGTGAAAGTCTCTGGCCTGGGTTACAAAGGAGATGGATGATAATAATAGCTCATGCTGAGCTTAAAATCTACGATTCTGTGCAGGGACAGGAGTGGTCCATTCTCAGGTGAGGCTATCAAACCCTGCTTGGTGCATGAGATGTCTTGGTGCATGAATAATGCAGGAAAAAAACCCAAACGTGTTTCTTCTCACCAATATTTTTTATTCTTTTTTAATGTGAGTGCAAAGCAGTTTCCATCAGTGAAGTGGCTGTTCCCTCTGGTGTTGTCTGAGGACACCTGTCCCGGCGATGGGGTTCTGTGGGGCTGGGGCACCGCGCTGTTGGGGAAGGAACTCCATGGGGGGCTGCAGGGGCTGATGTGGGACCTCAGGTCCTGCCAGGTGAACCCCAGCATCACCCCCACGATCCCCCTGGATCCTGCAGTGGGGCGGCTCTCCATCCTCTCCCCGTGGGGAGGGTGCTGTGTGGTCCTGGACCCCAGGGAGGACCACGCTACGGAGGATGATGCTCATGGTGGGCTGGTGTGAGGTGCTGCAGCACTTCCAGTGTCTGGTCAGAGCAGACGGGCCACAGCAAAGGGCCTTCATAGAGTAAACCTCCTAAAGCCCAGTGTATTTATCTTGGAAAACATGCAGGGTTCAGCCTTCCCTACCAGGAATCCCGGGCGAGGCCGGGAGCCAGGGTGGGTACATCAAAACCTGCTGCTGGTGCCTCTCAGGGTGACGTTCAGGGTCGCTTGGCTCCTGCATGCCCAGGGAGGAGGGTAACTTTGCCACTCAATGATTTTATCCAAACGCAGGGTCCTGTGAGAGCTGTGCCATGTGGCCAGGCATCCCCATCCCAGCATGGATGTGCATGGCTGAGCTGCAGCTCTCCACGCTGGAGGAGAACCCTCTGCCCACCACTGTCCACCTGGGAGCAGTTGTGATGTCCTCCAAAGCAGAGGTAGAGAGAGGAGCACAGTTATGATCTGATTTAGATGGGATATAAGGAAGAAATATTTCACGAGGAGCATGGCGAGATGCTGGCCCAGGTTGCCCAGAGAAGTTGTGGGTGTCCCATCCCTGGAGGTGTTCAAGGTCAGGTAGGACAGGTCTTTGAGCAGCCTGGTCTAGTGGAAGGTGTTCCTGCCCAGGGCAGGTTGGACTAAGATGATCTTTGAAGGTCCCTTCCAACCCAAACCATCCAATGATCTATGGCAGGCCTTGGCCAGTGAGCAGGAGGAGGTGGCAGTCCAAGGTCTGGTCTTCACCCATGCGTTGTTGGACCAGGAGGCACACAATGTGTGCAACGGCCCCCCCAGAGCCCCCAGGAGCAGCTGTGCTCCTTTCCTCCGGAAGATGCTGCTCCTACGGCATCTTCCTCAAAGGAAAAAGCCTTTTCTCCCTCCATGGATCACCAGTGACTTCAACTTTTAAAAATAAGCAGAGGCTCCAGCACAGCCCTGCACGCGATGTCTAGCCAAAATGCAAAACTTTACCACAGTGCACAAGTGGGCTGTGTTTTTCCGACCAGGGAACAACGTTAGGGCCCTTTCATCACCTTTCTTTTGCACTTCTTTAAAAAATGATTTAAATTGGAGGCAATAGTATTGAACCTCTGACACTCAGACAAGACTCTCTGAATCACACGCTTAAACTGCACCCATTTTCTACAACCACTTTGATCACAGCCCTTGTGGTTTGTTTTATTTTTATTTTTTTTTCTCCTAAGCATTTGTTCTTTCCACTCTGTTTGCTGTTTGTGCCATCTCTGTGAGATTTCATTTTATTTATTTTTTTTTGCCTGGCTATAGGAGGTGACCACTGGGGTTTTGTTCCTCAATCCTGCTGCTGATGCTCTCCAAAACCCGGGGCTCTCTTCCAGCGGCGTTAAAATCCCTGCGCCCAACCCTCTGTCCCCACGTCTGCCGCCGAGGAAAACGCTGCACGGAGGGAAGCCGAATTCCAGATTGCTCAGCAGAAAGGAAAAACCAGCTTGGAAGCCCCTCTGGAAGAGGGCCAGGCAATAATCTCACGCCGTGTGGGTGAGACCGGCAGCATCTCCCTTGGATTTAGATGGAGCGAGAGCCGCTCGCGCCCACTCAGCATCCAGCCCCCGTCCTGAACCAGCTGAATGAAAATACTTGTGGGCGGCAAAAATAGCCGGTGCTGAAAACCTGTGTCTGCTCGAGGGGTGGAAATTGCTGGGAGTTCCTCCGTGGCTGCAGCCCATCATTATAACCCGTGTCAGAAATAAGAGGCGGTTGAGCGGCGTGCCGCGGCCGGGCTGCCCCCCGCTGCGGAGCCCCCGCACCCCCTCGGCCACGGCACCGCAGTCCGGCGGCTCTCAGGATGCTGGAGAATGGCCCGGCAAGAAAAAGGCCTTTTTTTTTATTTTTTTGGGGTTGAAAAAAACCCCATCATGCATTTTTCTGTGGCATCAGCACGGTGCACAGTGCGATGGAGGAGTTCATCACCCCAAACTTTATCGTAGGCTCTGAGGATGCTGGAGAATGGCTCAGCGAGAAACAGGCCTTCTTTTGCGGGGGGGGGGAAAACATTATGTTTTTTTTTTTTTCCATGGCATCAGTGCAGTGCGATGGAGGAGTTTGTCACCCCAAACTTTAACATGGTCTCTGAGGATGCTGGAGAATGGCTCAGCGAGAAACAGGCCTTCTTTTGCAGGGGGGGAAAAACACATCATGTTTTTTTTTTTCCATGGCATCAGTGCAGTGTGATGGAGGAGTTTGTCACCCCAAACTTGAATGTAATTTCGACTCCCTCCCCGGGAGCACGGCCCTCAGTCCTGTGATGCCCAGTTAGGAGAGGGGCTGTGTGGAGCCACGGGGGTTCCTGCATCCCAGCTGCATTCACCACCTGGAATTTGCCCCTATGGGTATGTAAACGTGCCACGCAAATTCATCAACCCAAATTTTGTATCAGCTGGCAAGAGATAGTTAAACAGTGTAATCGGGAGCCCTGAAGGGAAATGTGGGTGCTGTGCAAACCTCCTGCTCTCGGGAGGGGACGGCAGCCCTGGCAGAGCGAGCGCCGGGCTCCTGGAGCCTCTTCCTTTGGGAAGGAGACATGGGCTTGAGGGGGGGAAAAACACATCATGTTTTTTTTTTTCCATGGCATCAGTGCAGTGTGATGGAGGAGTTTGTCACCCCAAACTTGAATGTAATTTCGACTCCCTCCCCGGGAGCACGGCCCTCAGTCCTGTGATGCCCAGTTAGGAGAGGGGCTGTGTGGAGCCACGGGGGTTCCTGCATCCCAGCTGCATTCACCACCTGGAATTTGCCCCTATGGGTATGTAAACGTGCCACGCAAATTCATCAACCCAAATTTTGTATCAGCTGGCAAGAGATAGTTAAACAGTGTAATCGGGAGCCCTGAAGGGAAATGTGGGTGCTGTGCAAACCTCCTGCTCTCGGGAGGGGACGGCAGCCCTGGCAGAGCGAGCGCCGGGCTCCTGGAGCCTCTTCCTTTGGGAAGGAGACATGGGCTCGTCCCCTGGCTCCGGGCACAATGCCCTTTGGAGCACAGGGAAGGAAAAACTGCTATAGGCTGCTGTGGGGATGCAGAGGATGCTTCTGCGTTGGAAGAGCCTGGCCTGAAGGGTCAGGGTGGCCCTGATGGAGCAGACCCATCCTCGGGTGGGTTGACAAGGCTGTTGGTGGTGTGTGGGACAAGGGGCTCTGTGGTCCCTGGGCTGTGCCGGGGGTCCCGGGGGCGAGGGGTGCATGGTGGCCACAGCCCCAAAGCCAGCAGAGGGAGAGTTGGAGTGGGAAGCCTGGCTATTCCCAGGGTTTATTTCCCAGATTTTGAAAGCTATAGGTTGCTCTTGGATTTGTAGCCACCATAAGGAAGCCCTTTGCCTCTCAGTGGATGCTGTCTGGTGCAAGTTGTGCCATCAGTGGTGGTTTGGTCGGCAGAGCCCAGTGCCAGTTAACTGGGTGATTTGGGACATGTCCCATTCCCATCTCCTCCCATCCCCTGTGCTGGAAGGGGAGGGATGGGGACACGTGTCCTGTGCACTCAGCAATACAAAGGAGCAGGATGAGCCTGGCTTTAGCCTACAGGTCTCCGGGGTCCTCTGATGGCTGGTGCTGGGGAGGCACGGGGTGGCACGGCCACACCAGTAGCTGCTTTGGTTTCAGGGGGTGCCTGGGCTCCCCCCTGCCCAGGCTTTCCTCTCCCTGCAGCACAGTGGGACCTTTGCCCATCAGCTGGTGGTACCTTCTACTGACTCACTCGTTCATTTTTTGGTGCTGCCAGGGCTGGCTCTCCAAGCCCATGTGGAAATGCTTGAGCAGCCATTCTAACCTCTGGGCTGCAATAATTAGCCTCACATGGCATCTGATCCGCAACATGTGGCCCCGGCCATTACTTTGCTTTAGCTGCTTGTTAGGCCCTAATCTCTGTTTGATTTCAAGGTGAAACCCATTTGAGTTTCCTGAGGTTTCTCCAACGAGCTGCAGGGGTGCTGCCCCTTCCATCCCGTGTGTCTCCTGCTGCAGAGCCCGTGTCTGGCAGGAGGAAGGAGTCAGAGATCACCTCCTGAACCCGCTCCTCCAGGTACTGTCCCCGTGATGCTGCGTGGAAGGGAGGTGACATTTTATCATATCTGGTCCTTAGTGATCTGACGTGTCCACGGGCTCATTTAGGAGCAGGTGAGTCCCTGGTCACCTCGGGGGGAAGGTCTGTGTCCTGCCTGCATGCTTCTAGGTGGGTACGTTGTAAATTAGCCACTTGTTGTTACAGATGTTTGAAGCTTTCCATGTCAGCTTCACATTTGGTTTCCCTTCTGCCTTAATTGAGACCAGAAATCCAATTAGACAATAATCCTGTCCCTTTTTGAAGTCGCTGGCCGCGGCGTCACACGATCCGGGGCGGTGGGTGTTGTGCTGCTGATGGGACCAACTGGCCCTGGTGGAATCCATCCCCGGCACTGATGATGAAATGTGGTTTTTTTTCGGATCCATCCATCCATCGTTGTCCACGCCAGGGACCGGCCTGGGCAGTTCTGTGCCCTTCCTATGGGGCCGGCAGATGTTCAAACACATCTGGGCTGGGGCATGTGCTGCTCTGGCTGTTGCTGATGAGGCGTGAGCAGCGCGGAAGGGCCGGCTGCTGCTTGAAGCAGCTCCTATTTATTTGCACAGATGCGCCGGGTGAAGGGGGGCAGGTATTTGAGAGAGGCCCCTTTAGGCAGGCTCCCCGAAAGAAGCTTGTTTATAAATGGCATTTCCTTGATTCAGAGATCTTGGGGGGGCAGATCTTGGGAGAGTCGCTGTCGCTGAGTCTGGGACGAGCCTGTGATGCCTGTCTGAGGCTCGAGTGTTACACTTGATTAGTTGGCTCCTTAAAATAGAGTTGCACGCTGGAAATCACTGTCTTTACAGTGTATTCAACATACGTATGTATTATACATTCTTAACATGAGTGTCTGTGTATGTAGTGTGTGTACATGCATATTTATATGAGTACACACTTGGTTTTGTGTGTGTTTTGCAGAAACTTTAAGGAGTTTAGATACTTGTGTGATTGTTGTATTTGGAGAATAATGATGGATGGAGAGCAAACAGCTCACGGATGAGGCTTAACACTGTAGACTCGATGGTGCTGGAGCCTGAGGGACCTCAGCAATGACCATTTGGGGCTGGAAGGGGTTTGTGCAAACTCAAGAGCTGGTTGATCCACCACGGTCCCTGCTCCAAAACCAAACTGCTGCCAAGCAATCGAATCAAACCCCATCCCCTGGCTTCCAGTCGCAAGAGCCAGCTGGTAGTTTGTGCATCAGTTGTCTCTCAGCAGCCAGGCTGCTTCGGGCTTGGTGTTAACCAGGGGGCTCTCAGCTGCTGCTCTGAGCTCTTCAGCCCAGGAGCCCACGAGCTGGAGCAGCTCACATCAGCTGTGTCTCCCTTCTCTCCTTCTATCTGCTCTAGAAAAACAGGAAACTGCACCAAATTAGCTCGGCAGCCGAGCCTCCCCAAAGCCACAACATGGCAATTGGAGGTACCGCTCGATTGCTTTTTTTCCTACCCTGCAGCGGCCGCGCGTGAGGCCAGCAATTTGCTTTGGTGTCTCAGCTGGCTGGGGTGGAAGAAAGCAAGAAGGGAAAAAAAATTAAGGGGAGAGATTTTTAAGCTCGGGGCCTCCCATTGCATTGTTTTTATCCTTTTCCCATCCTGGAAAAAGAATCAAAAATAGCTCAAAACCTATTTTTTTTCTGAACGATTAAATTAGGCTGAGGAGATGACAGAAACAGCACTGTCCGGCTCTCGATGCTTTTTTACGCCTCGTTGGGCAAGACCGAGTGGTGTCAGCTTTGTCAGCTGAAGTGTTCTGGTGGAGAAGGGTCCAGCCACAGCTCTGATGGGTTCAAGGATGAGTTTTCTGCCAGCAGCTATGGCCATATCCTACCTCCCATGGCTTGGCACACCCTGTGTAGTGCCATGGGTACGTCAGCATCACTGAAGCGCTTCTGGATGGTTGTTGTATGGCTCTGCTTTTATCTGATTTAAAAAAACCCAAACAACCCAACAAACCTCAAAACGTAACATTCTAACATAGCATAATGTAATACTTTAAGCTGGACTGCCTCAGCCATTAATTTCCAGTAGGATTTCTTGTGATGGGCATCAAGAGCATCAGGAGCAGAAAGGACTTTCCTGTGCTTGGGAGATGCACGTCTGCAGGAATTGATTGTGTGATGGGGCGAAGCCCAAACAGCTGAAGCATGAGATTGGGGGGTTGGGAAGGGGAAAAGTCCCAAATTTCTGGGAATCTGGAAACCTGTGCAAAAGGAAAAGGCAAAAAAATGTGTGGCTAATTCTGGGCAGGTTTATAAAAGACAATTAAAAACAACATCTAGAAACACAAGCCACTCAACGCTAGGTAAGAAGGGAACTGTTTGCCCGGGGGGGCACCAGGAATTTGAAGGGAAAAGAAGTGAATCCTGCTCCAGCCACACGTGGTTCCATCTCGTCCCATCTGCAGTGTAAGGGGGTGCCTCTTATAGGTAAGAAGGGAACAGTTATCCCTGGGGGGGCACCAGGAATTTGAAGGGAAAAAAAGTGAATCCTGCTCCAGCTGCACACGTGGTTCCATCTCATCCCATCTGCAGTGTAAGGGGGTGCCTCTTAGAAGGCAGTTGTCCTTGATTTAAGTTAAAGTCATTTTGGCAAAGCTGATAGGCCAGACAAGAGTAACATAGAGGGATTCAGCCCTACTTTACCAAAAAGTTGGGCTTTTTTTTCTCTCTCCTCTACTCCATTATTTGCCAGCCTGCCAATTCCTTCAGCCTTGCCTTAAAGCCCTGACTCTCAGCTGGCAAAATTCCCCTTGCGCCTGCGATTTGACCCGTTCTTTGACTTGTTTGCTTTTGGCTGTTCTCCAAATACGCCTCACTCCCAGGTGCCTCCATTTGGGGATGCTTTGGATGGAAAGCTAACTATGGGTATTGATGATTTAAATGGAACCTCAACACGTATTTTGTGGGGGGAAAAAAAATCACAGTCACTGAAGGGGTAGGAAAAGTATTTATACAGGGTATAGACCCCCAAAACCCCACCAGCTGGTTTTGGCTAGTGGATGTTGGGACAGCTTTGCCCTGTGATGGGGGACCTGCTGCTGGGGATGGCCACAGCCACCGGTCCCTCTCCAACAGGACCCTGAGCCGCAGCGAGTCCCCGTGGCTCCCGACGGGACCCGAGCGCTGCCAACTTCTTCCCCAGCTTTGGGCAAAGCGACTTAACACAAAGCGGAAGCCCTCAGGAGGACCAAATTCTTCCCCAGCCTTTCAATTAGCTTCTAATCCCTTCACTCCCATAAAATCTCAGCTGCAGCCTGCCCCTGTTTGTGTATTTCCACTGCCCACGAAAGCCACCTCCCTGAGCATCTGTCTGTGCGGTTTAGGCTGAGAGCTCCCTCCGTGCCAATGGCCACACCTCTCCGCAGAGAACATGTAATTGCAAACTTTTTCTTTTTTTTTTCCTTTTTTTTTTTTTTTTTTTCCCCCTCCCGAACCTCATGAAGCCTGAAGTGAAACAGGTTTGTCTAAAACTAAGTGGTATTCTGAAAGTTAGGACTAGAACTCATCAGTGAAGGAGTGAATGTTGTACAAGAGTTTTTTTTTTTTTTTTTCCCCCTCCCATTTAACGTAAAACAAGCAGACACCCGTCACCATCCTCTGCTCTGGCTCTGATGCAAACTTTTTCCACCTGGCCAAGTCAGGCGTTCAAAAAAATATAAATAAATAGGAAAAGAAAAGGGGGAAAAAAAGGAAGAAAGAAGAAAAAAAAAAAAAAAGGCCGTCAGTGGAGATATTTTTAAACACATGACACAGAGGAGTGTGACACACTCGGTGTTCTCAGTGGGTGGGTGCAGTGTTATTTCATGTTATTCTTGTCGCCGGGCCCAGCATTACAAGTGCACACGTTATTAGTGGTGTCTGATAATGGCGTGTGGCACGGCTGCCCGCTCCCCACTGCCACCAGGGGCTGTGGCAGTGGGTGCCAGGGGGGGTTTGGTGGGTGGGTGGGTGCCCCATGCTGAGGGTGCAAGGGTTATTTTGGCCACCGAGCGTTATTAGGATGGGGAGGCTCCAAAGAAAGGGCATTTCACTGCCTTGCTCGGACTGTGTTTTGCTTGGGCGCATCCATCTGAGCTGGCACCGCTGCCAGACCGTCCTTCCATGTCCACTTGTCCATCTGAGGACTACTGGAGCTCAGGTGGTGGTTTTTGGAGATGGAGATGGTGGAGGGAGCAGGGACCGCAGGAGCCGGGGAGGTGGCGATGGAGGTGGCAGAGGCTGATGCCCGGCCAAGGTCTGACAGACTCGTACACCAACTTGTGGTTTTATAGCCCTATAAAAGGCAGCTGACAGAAGAGGTTGTGATGGTGGAGGCTCCAGCTGAGCTGGGAGGAGCTGGCCTCGTCTCCCGGCGCCGGAGCCGCGTCTGCTGGTGCCGAGGCTCGGCGGTGATGTTGGGGAGGGAGAGCCAGGCAGGGATTCCCGGCGGGCAGGAGCTCACCCCGGCCATGGCCGTGGTCCTGCCAACGGCACCGAGCTCCCGCTTTCCTGGCTCACCTCTCGGAGAATTGTGTGCAATGCTTGGAAGGGGCTTTCTCTCACCATGCTCCGCGGGGTGGGCATGTCACCTCCTCCCTCGCCCGGGATTGCTGTTGGCAGTTTCACTGAATTTCACTGAATTTCACTGAATTTTAGAGTTGGAAGGGACCATAGAGATCATCTAGTCCAACTCCCCTGCTGAAGCAGGATTGCCTAGAGCTAGAGCATGTTACTCAGGAGCATCCAGGCGGGTCTTGAAAATCTCCAAGGAAGGGGACTCCACACCCTCCCTGGGCAGCCTCTTCCAGGGCTCTGTCACCCTCTCCCCAAAGAAGTTTCTCCTCATATTTGAGTGGAACCTCTTATGTTCCAACTTGTGCCCGTTGCCCCTCGTCCTCTCACTGGGAACCACTGAAAAGAGTCTGGCTCCCTCCTCCTTCAACCCTCCCTTGAGATACTTGTAGGCATTGATAAGGTCTCCCCTCAGCCTTCTCTTCTCCAGACTAAAGTTGGGTTGCAGGTAGAGGAGTTTGCAGGGGAGGATGAGGCCAGCTGAGATCCCTGGGTCTCCGTTCGCCTCCAGCACACGTATACACCAGCAGGATGGGCAGAGCTGGTGTGAAGCCGTGCAGCTCCACGGTCTGGTCCACAGCTGCCTTCCCTAACGTGGCCTTTTTTACTCTCAGATCTGCTTTCCCTTCCCTGCCAGCTTCTCGCCACGTCCACTCACGCGTTTCACTTCTGTCAGATACCTACAAACCTCCCTGGAGCCAGGCCAGGGGGCTTGGCCAGGGTCCCTTCTCATGCTCAATGCTTTCCTCTGAGTGGGACCACACCAGCGATGGAGCAGGATGGGCACAAAGCAGGATCACAGGAGATCCCCTCACTTGGAACCTCA